ACTTCTTATTATGAAATAAAAATCGAAACGAGGAGTATATCTTTTCGTCTTTTCCACACATTCAAAATCCAGTTTGTTACGAGAATAATTTAGATTTCCAATATAAAAAAAGGAAAGGTTTTAAAACCTATGCAAGTACTTGTGTTTGTTCTGCACATTTTAACTATTTCATTAAATATTTATCAATAGGCGGTATTTGAAATACGATGCAATTCATATTCAATTTATTGATATATTCAATAATATAAAACCATAACTAAAAAGACGACGTGTAATTTTAAGTGTAACAAATCTGAGGCCGGATGGCCGAGCGGTCAAGGTGACAGCCTACCACTCGGCCTACCGCTTGTGCACACTGGGGGACCAGGAATCGAATCCGGACGGATCGAAAATCCCCAGGAAATTTTCCGGGGTGGTCCGTCCGGNCACGCCCCTACCACTCGGCCTACCGCTTGTGCACACTGGGGGACCAGGAATCGAATCCGGACGGATCGAAAATCCCCAGGAAATTTTCCGGGGTGGTCCGTCCGGATATGTCGAGCCACCCAGACATACCACCGAACCCATAATAGGCTTGCTAAAAGAGGCCCTTCAGTGGCATGCCGTCATTGAAAGCGGTGGATGCGCCGCTTCCCTTGTATTTTCTAAAAAATAAATATATATTAATTTTAATTATATGAAAATAATCGCACAATATTTTATTATAACCGCATTATGTATCTTATTACAAATTTCTGTACTACACGCGAAAAAAAAAAATAAGATCGCTATTGTATATTCGAATATTAGTGGAGGAGTGGAAGCGCCGTATCGTCGTCATCCAAAAACCCAGATTCGCGCACTCGCTTTACAGAACACCGACCTCACCCGGTTTAGCCGGCGGAAGCCTAGGACCTCGGGTGGATGCTACACGTATACCGCATCCAATTCCATCCAGGACCGATTCCGGGCTGTTAGCCGCCTGCCCGCTAGATATTTGGTCGCCCTCGCCCGATTACGTGAATCACGAGTAGACTTATAACTTAACCCAACCTTTAAGAATTTACTGGTATATTTTTACGATAGTTCTGTATAGTTGACAAAAGTTAAAAAAATCCATTAAAATGTTTGATATTTTTATTCCTCTCTCTCATCTTATATTACTTACGGATTTCAGTGTTAAACCAGTGACATTACGATTTCGTATATCCTATCGGTAAGGGAAGGTAGAAAAAAACGTGTACAATTCTTGTATAATGTTAAAAAGTTAACTGTTACTTTGACAGCATCATTTACAACTATATTTAATGAACGAGAGAGATGCACCAGGTACAGAAAAAGCTCTAGAATTTATTTTCCTTAAATTTACGATTTATGTATCCGTTTCTGATAAGAATTTGTCTTTCCACTTTACTCCCGAGACTACAAATATTCGAGTACAAAGTAACCGGTTTCGACTTATTTCTACTTAAAAAGTAGTTAAATAGTTAAGAGATTAGGGAATTAGGGACATAAACAAAACCCTGATGAAAGAACCGAAATTTTACTTAAAAACTTAACCGAACCAATTTCTAGTCGAGTACAGTGGAGACTGATTTCTTCGTATTATTAATGTAATAAAGACAGAAATTTTTCCAGTTCGACGAGAGTGACCGAAAAGTTGTAAATTTTGGAAATTTCTGAGGGCACTTGGTCCTAAAACGAATTAGTTAGAAAACAAATGACTATTAAGTTTAACAAATTTAGCTATGGTGAGAAACGTTTAAAATCTACAACAACCCTGTCGCGTCCTTTGAGATATACTAGTGATGCGACGAAACAGGTATTTGACACTGACCGGTATTGGCACCCTGGGGATTTGGCAGTCCGCATGTATGCACGCTCTGCAACCGTCTTCGATTCCATCCATTAGCCACTCGTAGGGAGCTATTTGACTAAGTGCATTGTTTTAAGATTTAAAAAGTAAAGAATATTTTATATTTTTATGTACGTTTTTTTACAAAGCTATATTTAATTATAATTTTGTTTAAAACTATATTCGTACAATTGAAGAATATTGTATATAATTGAAGAATACCAGATATGTACCGGTATATCCACCACACATTTTATTTCACCGAGTAAGTTTTTATTATTTTATTTTTAATTGTAGCCCTTATATCGTGGCTAGCGATTCGGAATGTAATTGTGATATTAAAAATGCATTTAGAGAAGTTTACGGTTTTTACTGGCTTATCGAATAAACGATACGAATGGACC